GTGTAGAAGAACCACTTTGACCTTTATAAAAACCGTTATTTATATAGTAGCCTCTTCTGCTTTCTCCAATAAGTTTTTCATTTTTGTTGGTGTGAAATTCGGTACAAATGATCATTAGGCTTAATATAATTATAAATATTTTTAATTTAAGTAAAAAAATTAATAAAAACTTTACTAATCAGTTTTGAGTATAATAAATTATATATAACTTATTATTTTTGTTATATATTTGTAATATAAAATTTTCATTTTATAGAATTTGTTAGACTATTTAAATTCTACAGATAACAAATTTTAGAAATTACATCTGTGGTATATTAATTGTTTCTTGCTGATTAGTTAAATTTATGTATCTGTAATCTTAAATATACTAAGTCAAGTATTACTTAATATTAAAAACTTAGAGAATTTAGTCTAAAAACATTTTTTACAAAAAATTTTACAAAAAACCCTTTTAATTAATGCGCAGAAGGCAGTTTAATAAGCTAAATTTTGGGTTACACACAAAACAACCCTTGTAGCTCACCAAAATACAATCTAAAAAATTTCGTTAGCCAATCAGATTTCGAGATAAGGTGTAATGTAAAAAAAGTGCAAAAAATCAAAACAAAAAAACGCTTATAGCTTAAAATTTTTGGCTAAGAAAGTGCCTTCTGCGTACTAACGAAAATTTTCCTTGGGAAATTTTACTAGAACTATAGCCCTTTAAGTCAAATACTAATTTAATGGTAGGATCCTAACCCTAAACTAATTGCGAAATGTTTTTTTCTTAGCGAAATTTTTTTAATGGATCACACATAATGAGCGAAATTTTTTAGACAGACCCATGATTCTAGCTAATTAGATTGAAGAATCAGGTGTAACGTGATCACGTCTTTTTAAAAAATCGCCATTAACTCGAAATTTTACTGATGAAACTGCCTTTTGCGTTCTAACTAAAAACATTCCTCGTAAAATTTTAGTACCTTCCTCATCCTTAATCATAATCTTAAATATGATGCTTATTACTTTAAAATCTTTTCGCTTAATTCGATTGTTTTGATTTCACGATACACCTGATACTTCGATATAATTGGCTAAAAATCATGTGCCGTAAAATTTTTTTGTGGAAACTTATATTGCAAACCGATATTTTTCGTGGCCCTGATTACGTAGCTGTTTTTTTTTATTTACAAATTCCCAAACTTTATTTTCGAAGAAAGAAGTCTAAGTTCGATCATTTTAAAAATGTCAATTGTCTTTCTCATTGAATATTTTTTTAGAAGCAAGAAAGTTCAGATTTGAACTAAATCTAATAAGCTAAGCTTGTGAACCTACGTAAACTCCACTTGGTTCTTTAAAGATATTTTTGGTCTAAGATTAATACCCGGTTAGAATGATGACAGAGTAATCTGTTATAATTTGGTTTGGAGTTTAAACTATGCTCAAAGTATCTCTTCAGACTTTCGAAGTTTAAACTATGCTTAAAGCATCTCTTAGTGTTATTCACATTTACTAAACTTAATTTATTTTATTTTATTTTATGTTTAGGCTTCGCTAATGCGGGATTGTTCTTGTAAATTTGGCTGGGTAAAGTTGCTAATAAATAGCAGATAAGGAATATGCCAATTTTGGTGGCAGTGTCGAGTGTATGAAGTAATATTATAGTAATTATGTTTAACCGTTAATCATGAGATATTTGAATAAAAAATTATGTTAAATATATTTATATTAAATTAAAATATATAAAGAATATAAAATTTAACTATTTACTTCTTTATAAAGATGTTTTGCGAAGTTTTTATTTATTATCGCACCGTTAAATACAAATCACGTTGATGTAACCTCTGTATGGGACATGAGTTTATAATAAACGATTTAACCGTTTATAATATTTATTACTCGTTTAACCATGTCGATATAACATAAATAAACAGTTAAATGCGGTTAAACGAATAACGGTTCCAATCCCTAAAGATATTATTTGTACGAAATCTTATAACCCATATACAAATATGCGAACCGTTGATCATCAGTATGGATTCTGTTCAATACGGTCAAAAAATATGCGGATAGCTGCGAATAGCATAAGGACTTAGTCGTGTGTAATCCGCATTATCCGGATTTGAACGGATCATACCACTAACCGCAAGAGATACTACGAGCATATTTGATCTGAATCTTAAAATTTAGTCAATCAAGATCACTATATAGATGGAGGATACGCTATAAGGCATTAAATTTTATTATTATCATCTATAAATTTAGTCTTACGAGTAATAAATAATTCATAAATCCACGTGTTTTAATAACCCTATGTCACAAAACAATTTTTCACTTATAAAGGAAACCCCAATATGGAAGAACACAATAACTTCATCGCCAGCAATATTGAACTCAAGCTATCCTTGTTTGTTAGACGCATCGATGATAGGCAGTTGCCATTCTGGGTTCTAGTTTGTCTATTTACTTCATAATGGCCATCAACATCAACAACAGGATTTCCACCAGGACTTAGTGCAGGATAAATATATATATATTAGATAAATATACTAGCCTTTATGACATATCAAGAATATACTTACGGCAATGGAATGGAGATCACTACATCTTTAAATTCTTGATTATCACTTTCTAATTCATATTCGATTTGACATCGATTGTTCCATCACCAGCAGGGGAAGGTCAACAATTACTAAACAAAGATGTATCAATAGAAAATTAAATTTATAACGTCAATTTATCCACATTTATATTATACATACTTGATACGGAACTAATGTCTCATCTTTTGTAATGAGTCGCCATCTGAGAACACCCAATGGCCGATTAACAGGAAATCCTTTACCAGGGTTTTTCAAAGCAATAGAAAATATTTCTTGTCAACATTGGGATGTATCTGAGATTTTCCAATAAAGAGAAAAAACGGTTATTATTATGTTATATATAGGCGCAAAAAAAACAAAAAAAAAAAGTAAAAAAAACCTTAAGCTGTAGATTGCCATCATCAACTGCACGATCAGAAATTTTGATTCGTGTCATGTTTGGATCGGAAATAGTAAGTTCCAAATCCCATTTTACCTCTAATTTTCGAGGCCACCATCTCTGTTAGCCTTAAGAGATCTTTTCAGTGACTGATAGGTGAACACTGCAAAGATCACATGAATAACTCTCAATAAATGATAACAATATCAAATATTTATTATATCATAGAAAAGATAGCTGAAGATATCACACCTTTCAACGGGGGCTTTGGAATAGATGTACATTTAACACTAGTCTTTTCGGATACATCATCAAATCCGACTTCATTCTTAACAGCCTCAAACAAATCCACACCTTTCTGTTTTTTCGGCCTAATTACATACCCTTAGCTTTAGAAGGTGATGGCGTTGGAGAAACTAGATAAGAAAAGATAATTAGAATAAATAGACTTTTAGAATTAAGATCAAAAAATACTTTTATATAAATATCATGCCTACTATACGTAGAACGTATACCCTCTTCAAAGGATGTTTGCACTTGTGGTTCGGAATAAGAAGACGGTCTATTAATAGACTGACCAAAACTGCTTCCGAACGGAGTGCCACTTCCTCTTTTGAACATTCTTTTTTTTTGCATTTCAAATTGTTTAGCCCTTCTTTTAATTCTTCTTCAGCTTCTTGCTCTTTATTCTGCAATTAAAAAACTAGGTTTTCATTTTTTTTTTATATTTAATATATATATATATATATATAATATTTATTTCTTGGATCTTTTCTTTGTGACTTTCCATTTCTGTAATGCTTTTTGACCTGAGCGAGATTGACATTTTCTCGATACCCTAAGGATACGATTTCATCGAAAGCACTCAACAATTCGAAGCTATTTCTTAAAATCTCTCTCTCGTCAGTTGAATGGCATATATCCGAAACCACGCGAGCGAACAGATGTAAGGTTTCAATATTTTGTAAGATATTGGACTGTCTATTTGTAATAAGAACCATATAAAGCTCGTCAAGTTGCTGATAAACATATCAAACATGTTCAGTCTCAATAGTAGTATGTTGCTGTCCAGCGCTAGTTAACTTTGGGAAAGACCTTCGATTCTAGCACGTGGCATCTCTCTAAACTGCCGAGAAATCACACCTGTAATTCATAATAGCAAAAAAATGTTAATAATTATAGAAAATTGATTTTATTAGGATAAACGATTGCCGAAAATACCTTTCCCGCCCTTTGTGCATATTGACGCTGCGAGGACAACCTATAGTTAACATACAAGTAAGTGTCTCTACGATCCCAGTTAAACAACAAAGTAACGTATCATCGTTATATTTTATGTATTATGAAATAATCCCGATAATCAAGGATAAAAAAAAAAAAACCAACCATGATATAAACTGGAATTTAGTACAAGATCAAAGATTTCGTATTCAACGATAAATGATAACGATAAACCAATGTCACCGATTAAAACTGTGCTACCATTAAATTTCACATATATATAAAAAGTAAACTTCGAGAGTTTACTTTTATTCTATATCGTGTTTTAAGTCAAAATGGTAAGAACTTAAAAGTTATAAACCTTTACTTAGTAATAACATGATATTAAAGGCAAACCAATCTGATAAAATAATTGCCCAAGAGAATCTCAAGTGTCTTAAGAATCTTAAATGGGGTTCATCATCGTGAACATAAGTAAATTTACAATAGCAATAATATCGATATAACTGCGAAACGGTAAAACTCATTTTGCTTTGCGGTTTTTTCTTATGCAGGTGATTTCAGAATTCTATATCATTACGAGTGATCATCAAACTAATAAAATCAAAATCATATAGTCAGAGTCATATTATGTAGGGATTTTTTACCGGTTTGTTGATAATTTCAGAAATTTCGGAAATTAATTTCAAAAACAAATTGTCGGCCTCTATTTCTCCAAACGTTATCTGTTTTTTTTTATCATCAGGTTTGTCCAATTTTCTTCTTTTATTCTTTCTTTGAATTACTAATTTCTTATTTGATATAAAATTTTTTTGATGTTTGAAAGGTAAAGTTTTGTTTCTTTGGTTTTGAGGTTCATGTTTGTATGACATTTGAGATCATAATGATTAGACAATCCCTCAACCTGTTATTGGTAAATAATGATATAATAAATTCAGCATTTGATGAATTCATATAGTAAAGAAAAAAAATAATTAATAATTTATCAAATTTATTAATTTATATAAAATGCTAAATCTTTAATTGCTTATAACATTCAAAATTATTGTTTAATATCAGATTCTAAGGGTTATAAAATGTGATTTTTTAAGTTAAAAATTTGATTTCATTGTTTTTAATCTTATATACAAATAACTTCTAGCAAACTCATTATTATATTTTTTACCTAATTGACAAACACTTAATAAAAGATTAAGTCACATATTCATTTAAGGTTTAAAGAATTTATGATTTTATTAATACCAAGCTTTAAACTATTAAAAAATATTCAAAATTGTTATTGTTTAGGGTATTAATAACATTTCACAAAGAATAAACAGATATTATTATTAATTTTAAATAAGTTTCTATTTATTTAATAACTATATTAGGCACTTTATAGGTCCAATGATCAGGTAAAAATAGTAATAGTTGACTATCTAATTTAAGAACTTATGGTTTATTATCAAATTCAGTAAGAAAACTTATAATAGATTTATATATTTGTTTATTAAACTTAATAAATTATTTTATTTTTATTTTTAAAACCAGATCATTAAGTTATTATCAATAAGTTCTATTTTTTAAGATATTTTTTGGTATTTTTTGTAAGTTTGTTTATTTAAAAATTAAAAATAAAATTTTATAAATATTTTTTCTCTTTATTAGTTATCTTGTTGTTTGTAATTTATATAATTATAATTGACATATAGGTTTTTAAAATTGAGTTAATTGAATTTTAAATAATTTAACATATAAATCAAATATGTAGAATAATTTTATATTTATCAAATTATCTTTATTACTTTCATTATAACTATTATGCAATTGTCCAATAAAGTAAATTAAACAAATGTTTTTAAGTTGAAAATTTTTTTTTAAGTTTTTTAAATATAATATTTTCAAAATTCATCATTATTTTATCTGTCAAATAAATTGTACAAAAAATTCTAAATAAATTTGAATTAATTTTTATTAAATAAAACTATAATATTATTTTTATAATCTGATATATATATTATATTGTTTGTTGTTCAAGTTAAATATTTAATTAAGTCTAGTTAATATTACTTATATAATTTAATAGCAGTATGTGTAATTAATGTCTTGGTACATTGAGTTAAATCTTGAAGTTTTAATAAAATAATTTTTGACTTATTACTAACTAGATTTCAATATATAAAACATATGTATAACAAAAACTTTACTATTACTACATGTTAACTCATCTGCTATGATTCCAAAAGTAAATTATTTAGAAAATTTAATAATATTACATTGTTAAATAATATGAATATTTAATACATTTTGATATTATTCAACAAGTGTTTGACAGAAAATCATTAATTATTCAATTACCTTTTTTATTATAAGTTATAACAGATTTGATAAGACATTTCTCCAATTTTACAAATATATATAAACATAAAAACAGGTTTAATATTAAATTATTTTTTATTTAAGATAAACCTATTTTGAATTGTTAATTTTAATTTCTTATCAATTATAATAGATGCTTTGCAAGCTATAGAACAAACCTTAGAGATGTGTTGTTTGCATATTTGTTTAGACTTTCCAATTTTACCATATAATTTTTTTTTTTTGTAAACAATTAATTTTTCGAATGTATTTTTTATATATTTATATGACTTCTATTCAAACAATGAATGAAATTATAAACTTTTTGCTGCAAATATTTTGAAACAACCTTGCCAGCTTTAGAACCATTCCTATGTTTCATAAGATTTATTAATGATACTACAAGATTTAATTTACTATCGTCCATATTTTTAACTATATTTAATAAATTTACGTTTTTAAATACGTACGTTACAAAGATACAATTTTGCGTGAAGTATACAAATTTTTTATGCCATATTTTTTTTTAATCTATAGCTTTTATTTCATTCTTTTCGATAATAACCATTGTTTTACAGATTTTAATATCTTATATGTTTTGTTAAATTAAGTAAAGTTCGCTTACATTGTTAAAGAAATTAACCACTCATAAATGAAAAAAATCGAAAAAATAACATTATTACAATATTTAATGCTAATCATTATATCTTCTACAGAAAAATTAATTGCAATTGTTATGTTAGTTCGGGAGAAAACTGTACCGAAAGTTACTATTATCCGCAGTAAATTTGGATTTTCACAAAAAATTTTCACATAAATAACTAATATTAGTTTGATGATCACCCTAACGAAACGTTCACAAGTCGGATCGCTGTGTCATACTTTGTTACTTTGGGTATTAGTGTGTTTTTATGGATGAAAATCATATCACATGGATCATCGAGGTTTGGACCTAATGGAAATGTTGAATGACCAAGCAATGATTTAAACTCTAGGGGATTGACTGAGCAAGTATTTCTTTTTAATTTAATTATTATTCAATGTAACTTTGCCATTTTGGATTGATTGCATATAGATATATGTTCGATATAATTTATATAACGTGGGCTATGTTCACATTGTGAGCATGTTCTTTGAATGGGTTTGGTTTTTCTATTTATCGGTGAGTCATAAACTTCCAATAATTTTTTTTTTTACCGATCTCATCTTAACATATTAAATTTTTATCAAAGGATCATTATATACGTTGTATAGGATCTGACACTTTTCATACAACCAAGTGTGTTTTTGGTGATGAAGGAACCGCTCCACAGGAAAAAAGCAAACGTCATAAAAAAAGCATTCAAGACGATAATTTCCAATATAGAAAAAAAAAGAACAATAATATAGCCTTGTACAAATTTAAAATTAACATTCTTTTATTACAAACCATAAACGTATTAGTCATCACTACATACTCAAATAATTTCATCATTGATACTATGTCTTATCATTTCTATTTGTAAGGATGGTGTTTTTTATTTTTAACATCTATGTTCCATGTACTTTTTCTACTTTTTCGTAATTTATTGGTCTATTACCCGCATATTTTCCTGTTATCAAGAAACAAAAATTAGCCCTCAGCATCCACAAAAAAAAAAAAAAACCAACTAATGATAACAAAAAAAAAATAAAAATCTTGTTGTTTACCGTTCATTTCTTTCCAAGCTTTGACAAATTCATCCGCATCCCTTACTTTTATTAGTACGTTCATCCCGGATAACTTGTCTTTTTGTATAGATGGTTATTTACTAAGAGCTTTATATAAGATATCGTCCGTGACTTCACACCACAAAATAAACGAAAATCATCTGTAATAAAACATAATTTAGTGGTCAGCAACATTTTTTTTTTAAAAAAAAAACCCTAAATTGTAAAGAAATATCATACTAATGTCCCATTCTAATAATGTTGGATCTTCCCAAATTTCACCTCCTGCAGCTCTAATAATTGACTTTGGTTTCTTTTTTTGAAGCAGATTGCTTATTTATCTCGCTTTGCATGTCAAGATGCTCGCTTACAATGTCATCCTTTGGTTGATGGATACCAGAGCCAATTCCTCTAACTTGTTGATTAATAATTCCAGACTTGCTTGAATTTGAAGACATGGAAACAGTTTACAATGGCTGGAGGTGCTTCAACCACAGTCGCGGTAGATGCTTTTGGTGCGGACGATACTCCTGTTGTAGGATAATAATAACTACTACCACCATATGTAGAGTAATCATAGCCATCGTAAACGCCAGTATTGTGCGGCTTTGATTTGGAATACTAGAGGAATACGCGTATCCATAATATAATTGGGGTAGATTGCCAGTCGATGAAGCTGCTGTGTTAGTTGTGGAGGCAAACTTGTAGGATCATAGATAGTTATAAGGTGTGTGAGAATGGTTTGGTCCTGGTTGTATTCTTAAGGTTACTGTGTTCTTCATATTCCTTATATAGGTAATTCTCCGTTTTCATAGATCAGGTGTAGGATGAAAATTGATTGGCTAGAATTAAAGATTAACCTTTATAGTTACACATCGATTCTGGATATTCTACAGGAATACTGTACGAAAGTAGTTTTATCAATTAATAATCAATTAGGCCATGTCCAGAATTATGCGGTGCGATAGGGTAGATTATACGATGCGATCGAGGTCAATTATGCGATGGATGCGATTTTTAAACCTTCTCTAAAAAGATTATTTATTTATTAATTCAACATTCTGATTGGATTTTTTGAAGGTCATTCGAAGTATCGAGGATTACAGCAAAAAAACTCGTAATCATTTAAAAGAAATACTACAATATATTAGAAATTTAATAATCAATTATTAATATTAATAACACAAAATTATATTAATAATTATGGCTTCTACCTTTACCAGATAACAATTAGACATACTTTGTCAATCTCAAAACTATTTCAATATTCTTTTACCCAATTAAGTTTTTGTGTTCGACTTTTAAGTACAGTAAAACCATAAGTGTATGTACTTTAACAGCGTAAACTTAGAGAACTATGTATTTACGAAGGTAATATATATATATATTAGTCTGAATTTGAGCATGTATTTAGGAAAGGAGTGCACTTATAAAGAGTACGCTTATGGAGGTTTTACTGTATTATTTGTTTGTATATTTTTTGTAATTCCGCAACTTTTGAACAGGAAATGCATTATGATAAATCAAAAGACAATAATCCATTGTTTGCTTGATACCCGAATACTGGAATATTATAATAAATTCTTACCTTCAACATCGAAGAAACGAACGATTTTTAACAAATCTGACATACAGAAAACCTTCAAAAGTTCGCCTTCTATAAATGCACATCATCTCTAAATGTATACGCAAGTTCGAGCCTAAATAAAGCTATGACCTTTACAAATGCATTTTTTCTTATAATTCCCTAAGTGCACGCTGTTAAAGTTGGCCCCAAGGGTATGCACTTATGGAGGTTTTACTGTAATAAAGTTGGAATAAAAGCAATCAAGATTGTTATTTTCTGATTCAGGTAGAGAGAAGTCGTCTAATGCTTTTCAAATTTAGAAATATGGTTTAAAACAAATTACACATTTATAGATTATGATAAAATTATCAAAGAACTTTCTAGTACTTACGCCACTGCACTACAGCACTAAATTCCAATAATTATTCTAATTTTGCACTTTACATAAAATATTTAAATTATGGGTTAATCATATAATGCCGAGTAGAAAAAGAAATACGTAACTTTAATATGAAATATTTAAATTATGGGTTAATCATATAATGCCGAGTAGAAAAAGAAATACGTAACTTTAATATGATTTCATAGTGTGCAGGCTATTATTGATAAGCATTCAAAATCAACCCCGTTTTTAGAGACTAAAAATCCAACTGGCAACACGTTCAAAAACCAGTTTATACAAATTAAACCAACTTATTATTTCCGAAATATAGTAATATTTAAAATAAGTAATTTTGTGTGATCGTTATGATCTGGTTAATTCTACGTAGTGTTGCGCGGCAAATCGGCGAGTCTGTCGCTAATTCTTTCCTATCCTCGTGTAACCTACGGTGGCTAAGTCGAAATAGGCGTGTTAGATTTGGCAGGGTGGTTTATCCGTAGGTAAGTACTCGTCTCTTCTCTTTGTGTCTTTTCCTTCAACCTATTCTCTATTAACATCTGCTTCCTCTTATCTTATTTCTACTTCCTTAACCTGGGGTTACGATACGTCGAATCGGGGTTGGAGTCCTTCTCTTCGTTTAACGGCTTGGTCACGTGATTTGCGGCGAACGAACAAAATGCGGTTTAGTGGGTGTCAAATGGGCGAACGATAGTTGATTACGATGTTTTTAACGATAGTTTTAGTTTGGGCGGGATTATAGTTTATTTTCAATATGGGTCCGATACTTTAAGTTTATTTAAGCGAATGTATTTACTTGGGGTACCGTTGTTACTTTCCCCCTGGGCGGAAAGGCCTTTATTTATAATAAAACTTTTTTATTTACATTCGAGGATTATTTCTACTACATTATCTATTTACAATATTTCATCCCTAAAACCCTTTCCCAACCATAATAACTAAAAACCGAATGCCCCATATACCGTCGTTCTACCCGTAGTAACCAAAGTAATAAAAGTAAGAAAAGTAAGATTTCTCTTACTTTTCATGTGACCAGTTACTCGGGTAGGCGACGGGACCTAATTTCGACGATCGGTCACGTGAGACCGTGACCGATTTCGGGGCTCACAGTAGAAAATTTTCATTTCATTGTACAGATTGTACAGTGCAGATCATTGCAATATTTGGAAATACCAAATATGGTCTGTTTATTGATATTTTTTTGCGCGTCACGGATTTTTGTCACATTCCATGGTCTAGATATTTACCTGTTAGGAAGACTGTCAGAAGTCAGTAATGGCAAAACATCGTGTAGAGGTGGCCAACCTTATTTTGAGAGCAACTAGTTTTTACTGTTTACTCATTCAGCAATATATTGATTTTTTTTTATTTCATAAACTTACTATGGGAAAAAGAAATGTTACAAGAACGTCATATTAACTGGATGTTTAACTTGTTCAGATCCAACTTCACTTATGTTTTTTCAATATATATTTCCAACACATCGAATTAAAGCTTCTGAAAAATACTATAAAACGTTTAATTCAGTTTTGGGTGAAACTGATAACTCAGAAATCCTAAATAAAATCAAAAATATAAAAAAAATAATGGATGTAAGTTACTTACTAATATTTTTTGTGTTATATTGTAAAATATAATACTAAACTCTTTTGGATAGGAAAAAAAAAGATGATGGAAGACTGAGAATCCTGGATGCAAGAGAAAACAGAGGTATATTTTGTTTCTAGTTTTTTAGATAATAGACCTAACATTGATAAAATTCTACATTACATAGATTCTTGTTTACCATAATGTACATAGTACTAATCTTAATATTCATCAAGAAATAAACATGCTGTTACTAAACAAGATAAGGTTATTACTTTTCAGAAATAACTAAAAGACTTGCTATAAATATTAAACGATTATGAAAATTTTTATTACAGAATGAATCATTAATAAAAAATACTAACTTAGATATAAGTGAAGAAGATCAGAAAGAGGAGGATATAAATGAAATCGAAGAATTCTTTATAAGCAAGGGTAATTATGATAGGTTTATAAAAATGGAATTGATAATGATGACAGTGATAATAACTTTATAGAACGTAGAGAAGAAAATTAACCAACTCCTCATTAATCGTGGGGTCTCAAAAGTGGCACCAATGTTGGAGACGAATTAGCAAAATATGTTAAGACAATTCCTGAAGCTCATAAATGTTTGAAGTAAGTTTTTTGAATGGGCGAAAGTTATAAAAGTTAGTAATGATTATATTTAATCTTAAGTTTTCTTTATAGTCTCACATACTGGAACATTCTCGAATTAACAAAAGACACCCAAATAAACCATTTTTTTTCAACGGATGACTGGGAAGAAATAAATAAAAGCTTTAAAAAAGAAGTAAAATTAGTTGAATCAGATATATCAGATAGAGTAGATCGTTCTATAGCAATGCGTGATGTTCTGTATAATTTCTTTAAAAAAATCCCAATGCATCTGGAAATGAACTTCATAGTACATATGTTTTTGGAATTCAATCATGAGATAAGTAAAAAATATAATTGATTTTCGAATTTTATAACTAACTTACTTTTATTCTCATGATAAGGGTGGATCCACGAAACTTATGGCATGGCCTGTAAGGTTACAAATGTATTACGCTTAGGAAGGCTTTCTCAGAAAAAGATGCCCAATACTTTAAAAACGCTTGCAATTCTTGAAGGCTTTTATGCTACTATGTCTGATATCAAGGTAATATATGCTTACTATTATTGCAGTTGGTACATACAAGATCTCACTATTATATTCATATTATTTCAGTCTACATTGAAAATAATTTGTAATCACAAAAATAATGTCTCACGTTCACATAGAAAATGCAAAAGAAAAATTCCAGTTTATAGCGAGCAATCCGGATTGTTCGGTACACCTTCAAGTCCAATAAAGAAAAGTAAACGTTAAAATTATCAAGATAAATTGTGATTAAAAGGTCACAGAATTATTGAAGTTAAAATAGATAATTGGGGCAATGCAAACTACATACCAACTGTAACTGTTTAGTAAAACGTCATGCAATTATTGTAATAAAAATGCAAGTAATGTAATTGCTTAAAGGCTTAATTTCATTTTCAGAATGTTAATTGAGACATTACGAAATTTGGTATAATCCACAATCGAAAATTTGCAGGCCGGGTTGGACTTTGGTCCAGTTCGAGCTCATAATTTTAAACCCGTTATTGTTCGAGCCAGATACAAATCGGGCTTGTTAAATACCAGATCAAGCCTGATAATACCAGGTAAACTTATAGTCAAAAACATACCCTAACGCTAAGTAAATTAACCCCATCAAATTAAAATTCGAAAATTATCTTGCTCCAGTTTCTTGAAGATTGGTATTAGTAAAAATTGGTATGTGGCGTGTGCTTAAATTAAAGAGAAGGGTTAGCAGGAAACAAAAAAAAGAATATGGATAACACCTTTATCCGGTTCCAATCAACTCACGGACAATCACTTCATAGACACCAACAATTATTCACAGACAAAGTAGTTTTAGCTATTGTCGTTAGGGTCAGGTTAGAATTAGAGTTAAAGTAGTGTAATTTATAAAAAAAAAAACTTGCCAGTGAATAATTGTCGATAAAATGTGGTGTCTATGAGGTTATTGTCGGCGAAATAATACGGATCCACATTTATCGCCTCGAATGTTCATTGGTCACGTGGTTCAATCACGATCATCGATTGAACCATGAAAAATTAATAGAAGAATTAATCAATGTTTTTAAGCATAGTATCGATCAGAGCACTCAGATAGAGCATCGAAAATTAAATGGCACATCCTAATTTGTGGCAGGTTAAGCCACTAATTTCAATCACTTGACTGTCATAAACTATTGGAAAAAAAATAACTTATAAATTCAAAAGTTGCTTTTGTTACCGATACGTATTAACTAAACAAATATTTATATAAAAAATAAAACCTTTTTAAATTAAAATAACGAATACCACATAAATAATTCACTAGTATATTATAATCACTTTAAGCAAAGCAAACAATATATCGTTTTTTTTAACCGTGCTATTGTTCAACACATTCTTCCTTAAAAGATACTTTTTTTACTTTGATTGAACAGTCGCGACTAAAATCATAAAGACAAATATTCGTGAAATTTTATTTTTGTTACATTACATTGATCTTTGAATTTATCTAACACAGTTCATAATGTTGGCCAAATATTTTGGCAGTTTGAATTAATAACTAAAAATGAAATGATGCCGGAAATATCGTTTTCATCCATTTTCTTAATTTCGTTTTTATAAGTTTGTTTTTTAAAAAAAATATGTATAACCTGAACTTTATTAAAAAAATTGGGTCTCTTTTACAGTAAGTCTTATTAGAAGTCGATAGGTTATTTAAACTCTTACTCATGTCAGATAAAAGAAACATTAATTTATAAAATCGCAAAAAAATAAATAACCAAATCGGTTTTATATATTCATTTTAACTTCGTAATAATAAATTACTAAATACAATAACTTTTCATCATGATTTAAGGCGGTGATTGAAATCAGTGGCTTAACCTGTCACAGATTACGGACGTGTAAATTTATTTAACATAGGGTTTGGTATATAAAGAATTGACGGTACTATATTGCTATAGTACACATTCAACCCCACCCCTAAAACTACGTACAAATGTCAGTGCTCTGATTAAGTAGCTCATTTAAAAATCGAATATTTCTTAAATTATCGACTTTAATAGAAGTATATTTATGTACTTTATTGATGCCAATAATTTAGGAAACAACTTGTTTATACTTGTCTCTATAAAGAGATTGTGGTTGTTAGATTTCTTGCATCGTACGTACGTACATGACACAATAATGCATATGGGTTTATTCTGCACGATTCTGCAAGGATTTACGAATGTGCATAAAACCCATTAGATTATCTTAACACCCAATAGATTATCGTCTAATTATTAACCTGGGCATACTGAATAGAGTGTTCAGACTCATGCAGTTTCAGGGATTTTTCATTGTTTAACCAATGAAAAATCCCTGAAATCGCATGAGTTGGACACTCTAATACTGAAATAGGCTGTTTGACATTGTTTATTGTTATGTATAAATGTTAGTCTCTCAGTCAATTATATCAAAAATTTTGAGGTTATTCTATGTTTACGATATGCACGGTAAAGCATTACATTGCATAACTAGATTTGCAATATTCTATGTTTACGGTATGCACGGTAAAGCATTACATTGCATGACTATATTTGCAAAAAGGATTGGGTAGCACGCCATTTCGCGTTATAAAAAAAAAGGATTGTGGAGGTTAATTTCGATTTATATTTTTTTTATTTGTCCCATTCTACTCGTTATTTTATAAAAATTTCCAATACGTATAAATGGTTGAAACTAAAGAATCTCATGAAACTTTTTACATTGTTCAGCTAAGAAGATGGTTTACAGCCTGGGAGTCTATCAAGTCTTCATCTAAGATGCATGCAGTTGTTTCTATAATTATTTGTTTATTATCACTTGCATTTGGTATTACTCTTTTAGTCTCACATCAGTATGGCTTCGAGTCAAAACTTAACGACATTATTTCAACTTCGGTTTTTGGAACAGGAAGTATTATGACATTTTTTGGGAGTCTGATGTCTCTTAGAAATCTTTTTCGTATGGACAGTTTAAATATAATGGATGAAATATATAACAAGGAAAAGGGTCTAAGTATTAAAAGAAGTTTAAGTTATTGGGATCCCGCTGTAAGTTACCTCAGCCTCTCATTGTCTACAGAATATTTAATACATATGGTTAAAGAAGTCTATGAGAAAGTGATTGGTCTTGATTTATCTAAACACTTTTCCAAAGTATACGATGATGAGACGATATTAAAAGGTTCTGATTACTATATCGAACAACTTAGTGTTAATACAGAAGAAGCACTCCTTAAAATAACGGAAAAAGTACTTAAAGACCAGAAAGAGAGGGATGAGTCGAAGTCGAGGACCGAAGGGGGTAAAAAGATGGATGAGTCGAATAAAATGATTGATGAGGCGAATAAAAGATTTCTGGAACAATATGCAAAAACTTTACTTAAACGTAGAGCTGATGATATATATCAACAGTTATATGAACTGTTAACGACCAATATTACTGATATAAATCATTGGAAAAAAATAGAATACGAAGCGAAACTTTATAGAAAGCCTTTATATTTCATGAAAAATCTGGCAGAAAATACAAAATATACGTTGATTATTCATACTTTATGGACTATTGCGTTTTCATTGATTTTTATATCACTTGCTGTAATTGCCTTTTTCAATTTAACCAACGAATCCAACAGTTCTATATTTTTAGTTATAGATGTTACACTCATAAGTATTTCATCGTTCTGTTTATTATGCTCAGTGTATTCATTCATTATAAATACGACAATTGTTCCTAATTTGATAGAGGACATTAATTCTCATGAACATGACATTTTTGAAGATACTATAGATTTAAATTGTGCAATATTTAAAGAACGACACACTATAAAGTACGGATTAAGGTTATTTTTATTTTATTCCTCATTCTTTTTTTCTTTTTTTCTTGGTATGCTTGTAAATAAGAAAGGAAAATTAATGTTGAAAAGAACTGACATTAGTGGATTAGAGAATGAGATTTTAATGCGCCTTCTTTATTGTAGCGATCAAAGTGATATTGAATTACTTTGATAAATATAAATAAAGAGGCAAATGAGGATGAGATCAATAACTTTTAATCATATGGTCAGTATATAGCAAGCAGGGGCTTCGAAGTATTCTGACAAAAGACTGGGATTTTTATTTAATTATATGGGCTAGGTGCTGGAAAAAGGGACGAAAATGACAATTTTTTTTTTACATAAATCGATTTAAAATAAGTTTAGGATTATTTTTTGCTTAAGACACAAAAGTAGTTGTATTAATAACATTTTGCAGTATAGCTCTTTAAAGTTTGCATTTTCTTATGATTTATTATAAAATTTATAACATAAAAATTGATATTTTTTTTTTTTTTGTCAATTTCGTTCCTTTATCCAGCATCAAACCCATATAGAAAAATATTTAATATTTATTTTATATTTATATAAATTTTGGATTATTGTATATTTTGTTATTTCTATTTTTTTAAGTATATGAATAGCATTTTAAATAAATCTTAAAAATTTATATAATATGGGATTAAGTCAAATGAAATCAAGCAAATCAAAAAATTTTCAAAATATAAGGAAGTTTTGGGTATTATGACGTAAGAGGTATTGTGGTACACTTACATTTTTGATGATATCTTACGATTCACTAATTAGAACCAAACAATTTTAGTACGTATTATTCAATTTGTTTTACTAAGATGAATTAATTAATTGTTCGGAGGATGCTCAATTTCTATGCAAAGTGATACAAAAGTTACGTTTTTGATGCATCAAAAGTATCATTATTGATGCATTCATAATAAATATATCAAAAACGTAACTTTGAATTTTCTGTCTGTTTCCACTTGCATATTCGTATAACACAACAAATCTCATGTGATTTTGCTTCGAACTCATAACGGTTTCTGTTTTTCTAGTACAAATATTGTCAATTTCTATGCAAAGTGATAGAGGCCTGCATTGGGTCCTGCAGTCTGGCCCAGTCCGCAAATTTTTGTGGACCAGGCCAGGCCTGAAGCAAAATTTTATAATTGCAGGTCAGGCTAGATTGAAAAATTTGCAAAATTTTATATTACGGGTCAGTACAAGCTTAAAATTTTGTAAAATTAAATAAGAAATTTTTGTAGGTTAGGTCAAGTCAGATCAGACTAAAGAAAAAATTTAATATATGCAAGTTAGGTCAGGTCAGGTTAGATTAGCAAAAAAATGTTAACTCTAAATGTAGATCAGGCTAGGTTAGAAAAAAAATTTTAACTCTAAATGCAAAGTTATATTTTTGATACATCAAAAGTATCATTATTGATGTATTTATAATAAAAATATCAAAATGTAACTGAATTTTCTATTTGTTTTTACTTGCATATTTATGTAATACATATAACAAATCTAATATAATTTTACTTTGAATTTTTGTTTGTTTTTTATTTTATATAATCAAATTAAGAAAAACAATATACAAGTATATTTTTCTTACTTTTAAGCACTTATATAGTCTTTCAAATATTGATTAACTATTCAATTTACCTTTGCATTAGCAGTTATCCTAACTGGTTAAATATTTATTATAACTGTCATTTAAACAGGTTACATTTTAAAATTTTTAAAAATACAAACTTATCTGTTCTACTAGTTCTTGTTAACTACCATTCTGACAGGTCAGACTATTACATCTCTGTTATTATAGATAGAGTAGATAGGTTAGAATAAAAGTTAGATTTATAAAAAAGACAAAGTTACTTACTTTTACTTTTCTTAACTATACTAATTAATTTCAAATTATCTCATACTACTATTATGAATTTTCTTTAAGAAAAACTATAACTTGGAAATATTAGAATAAACCATTAGAATATTGTAAGATTAAGTTGTTGGCTAGATATATAGATCTATATAAATATTTAGTTATTCATTATTTTTATTTATATATTTATTTTTTTATTTTTTTTTATCTTCAGATTTCTTTATTTGTTGTTATAATAGATAGTTAGGACTAATGAGTAAAGAAGAACTAAGGCTAGATCTAAGGATAGAACTAGATGTAAAAAAGTTTAACAAAAAGATAGTAATAGTTTGGCTTAGTAATATTTTAATAGAAAGAGTAGGACTACTTATAGAATTAATATAATAATAAAGGCTCAGATAGTTCAAACTTGTGTATTTTAAAAAGTATAAAAGAACTGTTTTTTTGCTCTTCTAATAAAGTCTTAAACTCAATGTCTTAGTTATAATAGAATTATAATAAAAACCGCATTCTTAATTGTTATACAATTTTATCTTTATTGTTATTGTTTTTTATTTCTTATCATTAAAACTCTTAATACATATCTCAATATTACCTTATTGTTTAATTGTTATCTGCTTTTTTTTAATATTATTAAGTATCATTTATGTCAATTTTATCTTAATTGGTAATCTGATTTGATCTAATTTATTTATTACTAGTAGATATAATTAAGTGCCCTGACTATTAATTAATTATATAATCTCACATGCTCAAATAATTATATAATCGATTGTACAAGTTATTTTATTACTATAGTTTTAATACAAAGAACATATAAGTGAACTATTAAAGTTAAATTGTGCTAATAGATCTATAAGCTTTCTTTGAACAATAGTAATATTTAATGCCAGTTGTGTGAATTAAAAAAAAAATTGTATCTATAAACTTATAAATATCTCTTGAAATGTTTTTTAACCAACAACTCCAACAGGCAGCCCAATTAAATTTGAATAATTCTTTATATAATTTAGCTAATCAAATTGCCACTTTGGTTTAGCAAATGCAAATTATACCACTTCTGCAAGTTAACATTCCTATTAACCTATAAGAACTAAATACTATCTTGTATCTTGAATTTTATAAAAGTAATCAAAACCCAATTACATGACTTAAAGATGTCAAAAAAAGCTTTTAAAGCCAACCTTGTATTATCTCTACAAAAGATTTCTGTAATTGTACTAATGCTTAAAGGTTCAGCTATAACTTGGTGAATTACAAGAAGAAACCAACAACCAATAATTGATTGATAACATAATTCATTAGTACTACATTAAAGTTTTATTACCTATTTTATTGCAAAATTTTATATGTTCAAACTAAAAGTAAAATAGTTTGCACAATTGTTTCAGAAAAAACAATTGTCAGAAGAAACTGTAAATATACACTATATAACTATTAAAAAAATACTCTAACAAGTGAAATTAGAAGGTCATCAGTACCTGGATATGGCAAAGGCTTAAATGTTTATTAATGACCTTTATTCTAAATTGTTTATAGCTGTATCACCTTTAATCTCTAATACATTAAAAGAAGCATATACAAAAGTAAAAGCATTTAAAAATGCTTATAAGCAGACTTCTATATATACTAATTACTCTGTTTAGCTAATAGTTCATCTAACCTATAATTTTCCAAATACAGTTATTACACTACCAACTATTAGCTTTAGTGTAAATAATACTATGAATGTTTTAAAAGTTTTGACTGATAGTGTCAATAAGCTAATAACACAACTCCAAAAACAGCAAAAACTGTTCTAGAATCTGTTCTAGGAACACTGCTGTTATTTGTTTTAATTGTGATCAATCTGAACATTACAGTTGAAATTGTCCTAACCTTCAGAATCCTCAAAATAACACTTCTGTAAATAATTGACCACTAATAACTACTAATAATTCTCATGTTAACAATTGATTATCAATATTTTTTAATAATCCTAATAGTAATAATTATAATAATGATTATAATCCTATTAAAAATAATTTTTAAGAAATTCTTCAGGCATTGCTGGCATTAATGAATAATAACTTAGATAGTTCAAATAATTCTGAAAACTAAACATTGTATTTAGGAATTCTTGAAAAGAGTCATTGTTTTTTTTAGCTGAAAGATTTGTTTATCAAAAACTGATAGCGAACATACTAATTATAAAAAAAAAGAATGCTAAGCCCAAAACAGTTAATTTAATCGATCTTAAAAAACAAAAAAGTGTCATAAATCCTAATACTAAAATGAAGAAGGTTTACAATAATCATAATAATAAAAAAAAATCAAAAAAAAATCAAAAATCTTAAGGTTCTATTAATCAAAATTTAGAGCAAGATAATCCTATTACAGTATCTAAGCAGAATAAGAAAGAAATAGTCAAAGTGGTTCAAGAGAAGGCTTCTGTTATCTGATAGAAAGTTATTGTTAAGAATAATTTATCTTAAATATCTTTTTTAATAATGTCATATTTTATTGTAACAGATTTAAGAAATAAGCTCACTAATATAATATTTGACAATTGTTAAGAGTTGTATCTCCTATAAGACAAGAATTGTCTCAATCTTTACAAAAGAAGAGAATTATTAATTGAAAAAAGGTTCAAGCTAATGTTAACATACAGCCAATCTTGAAATTAACAGCTTTGTGTTGTGATGCTAATGTTTATAATATATAATCTTATTAATTGTTAATAGTAGATTGTCAGAAAGTATAGTTTCTTTACATTTATTAAATGAACTAAGCATCCAGATTGAACAACCATTGGTAGTGAACATAGTTAATATTTATAATAAAAGTAAATGTACCATTAGAGAAATTTCTAATTTTCTATTTAATATTGGTGGCATTAAGATATCTATTAATGTTGTTATAACTGATATTAGTTCTTATTGTACTATTGTAGAGAATGTTTGGTTGGCAAAAGTAAATACCACTATTAACTGAACTAAGTCTAAAATGACTCTAATATAGAATAATAAAAAAATCATCATTTAGTTGAATTTCAGAAATTGGCAAAGAATTCATTAGATAAAGAACAAGAAGTAGTTATAAGAAGTATTAACCAGAATAATAGTAATCAAAATGAAGAAGAAACTAACAAGGAATTTGAGAAGAAAGAATTGAAAAATCAACTTTATATGCTTTCTTAATTTGAGGAAGAAAAAAAGAATTATGAAGAAATTCATATAAAAGAAGATAATAAAGAAAACTATTAAAAAAAGAACTAATATTATATGATTTGGAGCCTGTTAAAGGTCTTATTTCAGCAT